GCACACGACCCTTTTGGTGATGCGTGTTGCGGCTGTGGCGCCGCGTGGTCGGGCCCAAGAGCCCCCCGCTGCCTAGTCACCTGTGCGACACGCGGGCCGGGCGGCGTGTGGGCCCACGAAGTTTAAGGCCGAACGGTAGCAATATTTTCTTAAGTTCTTGTTGAACTTGTATCGCTTCCTGAATGGTATCCGCGTCAGTGAGACAGTCGTCCACATAGAAATCGTTCTTCAATGCAGCAGATCCTATAGGTAAACTGTTTTGGCTCCGAGGTGCCAAATGATCAAGACATTTCGTTGCCAGGAATAGAGAAGATGTGGTTCCATATGTTACTGTTTTTAAGCGATAGTACCTGATGAAATTGATAAAATTGATCCTCGGGATTTATCAACACTTGTCGGTACATTTTCTCGATGTCCGCTGTGAATACGTACTTATGTGTACGAAAACGTAGTAGAATGGAAATAAGTTCACTCTGAACTGTGGGTCCGGCATGCAGAATGTCGTTTAGAGACTTTCCGCTTGTTGATTTGCATGATGCATCAAATACGACCCGTAACTTTGTGCTTGTGCTCTCAGGTTTGAGTACACAGTGGTGTGGTATGGAGTAGTGTCTCTCCGGCACTTGTGTTGCTGGAACCATCCATGTGTCCAAGTCCTGCATATTCTTTCATGAATTCCACGTAGCCTTTCCAGATGTCTGGTGAACTCCGTCGCTCTAATGCCAGGAATCTTTTCGTTGCATTTCCAAAGACTCCCCCCCCAACCCCCCCGAAATCCGGATCTGCCAGTGGGAAATTTTTTGGTATGTTCAAGTTCATTTCATCGAGTGCCTGCGCTGGTTGATCAGCAATTATCTGTGGTATAACCAATGCTTCAATTCTTTGCGTAAATCCGCCGTGAAGGGCGGACTTTGACTGACCTCCAATTCCATCGATGCGTAGTGTTGTATCATTAAGTTTTATTGACAACATTGATGCCATTCGTTCAGAGATCAGGTTGATCTGTGGTCCTGAATCCAGCAAAGCTCTGAAATTGGCTTTCTGTCCATTGTTTGCTTCTACTGCTACTTTTGCTGTAGCTAGAAGTTATAATTATTGTTAATTGCTGCGCCAACCGTCGGTACAATTGGTTCTGTACTTGTGCCCGATGGTATGTCCAAGTGCAGCAGTGTATTGTGTTTTTTGTCGCACTTGAAACATGTCCGACCTGGGCATGTATTTGTTTTGTGGCTTGTTTTAAAACAGTTGACACACAATTTCTGCTTTTTTATCCAATTTTGTCATTTTGATTTGGAGCGAAACTCATCGCATCCGTAGAGTCAATGGCTTGCTTTCTTGCAGAATGAGCAGAAAGGCGTTTTCGATTTTTCAGTGTTTACTGTTGTACATGTTGTGCCTTTTGGCTCTTTCCTTGACATTTGTGTCTTTTTGCCTGTTCCTAGAACTCGAACTCTTTGTTCTAGGAACTGAAGCATTGTGTGCAAGGCCTGTATTTCCTTTGAGCTTCCCAATGATTGCTCGTACAAGGCTCTGTTAGTGACATTCAGCTTATTTTTGATGACGGCAATCAATATTGGATCCCATGTGAATATATATTGATGCCCAATCCCTTTAGTGATGCCAGGGATTCGATAGTTGTAACGTACAACTCTTTAAATGACTTGGAGTCGTGATTAACTGTATTATAATTTAGGAAGCGGTTCAATACCGTGCTAGCGACGTCTCTGGGATTGTTGTATGTATCAATCAGAATTTCCCAGGCGCTCAAATAATTTTCTTCCTTTAGATCGATATGTCGCATCAATCTTTCTGCCTCTCCAGTTACGGTTGTTTTTAGATACCACATCTTCCGCACTGTGGGCATGTTTGTTTCATGAATCATACATGAGAACAGGTCATAGAACTAGGACCAATTTAGTATGTCCCCATCAAACTCAGGAATGTTGATGTGTGGAAGCTGCACGTCATTATTGTTTGATGTGGCCGGTTTTGCCAATGCTCTTTGTACCTCTTTATCCAGGGTCGGGTAGGCTTCCATGTCGTATCCTCCTTCTTCTGGGTAATCATATTCCTCGTGGATAGTAAAATGGACTTCTTGTGCTTGAGTTATCAAATCACTTGATGTACGTCCTCCCGCCTCTGAGAATTGTCTCAGAATGCGTTTTATGGACGCTACTATGTCCTTTTGTCGGCGACATAGTGAAGGCAATTTGCTGTAAGCCTCCGTTGTTTGCTGGCTCCGATCATTCCATTGTGGTTCGACATTTTGTCGCACATGAGCACTTGATGCCTGATTTAGCTTGTCCATGCTTTCGGTAAAGATCGCAACGTATCTCTTCAGTGTTTTACGTAAGTGCTCATGAAATTTAACGAAATTATCGGTTTTGTATGCTTTCAATAGCTTGGTGTCGATTTCGTTAAACCGATTCCATGCATCCTCGAGAGCCACCTTTTTTATCTGGAAGTACGTTATAGTTTGCTTCCTTTCTGGGGATTCTTTTTATACCCGTACTCAAAAAAGAGTTAAGGGGTATATTAGATTTGCGGTAAAAGTGGATGTGTGTAACGCAGAGAAGGAAACGTTTCCGACCCCATAAAGTATATATATTCTTGATCAGCATCAATAGCCGAGTCGATATAGCCATGTCTGTCTGTCCGTCTGTCTGTCTGTCCGTCTTGTTGAGCGCCTAGATCTCAGAGACTATAAGAGCTAGGGCAACCAAATTTGGTTTCCAGGCTCATGTGATATCACACTGCTGCAAGTGTATTTCAAAATTTCGCCCCGCCCCCTCTCGCCTCCATAAAGGACGAAAGTCTGTGGCAGGCACTATTTTAAAGATACGATACGCAGTATCGTAGAAAATGACCATATATACCAGATTGCTTCCCCCGTCTCCCCCTGCATGAAACACGCTACTGATTCTCTTTCTCGCTCGCACACTGCCGCGTTCAGTGCGCGAGCAACCCTTAGCGGAGGAGATGTAAAATCTAAATGGTACATGTACAATCTACATGTTAGATGTAGAATATACCTTGTATATGTATATGTAGATAACAGATGTAGCAAAAAAATGTAATATGTAAATTAATTTTTTTAATTCTAAAATTCTAAAAAATCATATGCTGGAAAATGTATATGCTGACTGAGTACGGGTATAAGTAGAGTCGCGTAGAGAAGCGACTCACACTTTCCTTTGAAGTTCCTAATGACCTTTGAAATTTCATCTCCAATTTCTTGCTGCTCATTTAATGCCTCTGTGGCGGCAGCGTGTTCCTCCTTGTGTGAATTCATTTTGGCTCTCTCCCTCTGAAGAGCGATCTCATCGTTGGCAGAAATTGCTGCAGAAGCTACAATGCTTTGTCGTTTGTTATTATGTCTTCCGTTACATGGGTCGACCTGACTTATTCGATAAGTGTACATTATGTAATATTAATTAATGCATAAATCTGCGACTGAACAAGCATGATGAAATGGGGCTATTCTCCTCAAGAATGGAGGAAATCAGTCATCTCAATGATCCCTAAAGCCGGAAAAGAAAAGTACATTCCTTCATCATATAGACCTATCAGTCTACTGCCTTGCCTATCAAAGATATTTTAAAAGCTGCTCCTGAATCGTATCAAACAACCCCTAAACATCAACGGTGCCATCCCGATTCACCAATTTGGATTTTGCGAAAAACACGGAACCATTGAACAAGTAAACCGTACTACCTCTGAGATACGGAATGCATTTGAAAGACGGGAGTATTGCTCCGCTGTTTTTCTGGATGTCGCCCAGGCTTTTGGCCGCGTTTGGTTAGATGGCTTAATCCACAAAATAAAAATATTTCAAATTTCTTCCACAGAACATCCATGGAATATTGGAGTCATACCTTCGATACAAAGATTTTCTCTCTGAATATCATCCAATTTAAGCTGGTGTACCGCAAGGCAGCGTGCTTGGACCGAACAAAAGTGCAAGGATCCATTATATCTGAACAACATCAAAATTTCACAAACCATGTTCATCTGGATAGAAGGCTTACTTGGCGTAAACACATGGAAGCGAAGAGAAATCTACTTAAATTTAAATCTAGTAATTAACATTGGCTAATAAACACCCGTTCACCACTAAAACTGGAGTACAAAGTACTTTTGTACAATACAGTTCTCAAACCCATCTGGCCATACGGATCCGAGCTATGGGGAAATGCTTGTTAGTAATTTAGAAATAATCCAGAGAGCTCAATCTAAGATACTAAGAACTATCACTGGGGCACCACTGGGGTACATACGGAATGATAATATCCATAAAGAATTAAATGTAGGATCAGTTAAAATCAGTTACTTCGTGCTGTACACTACAGTTGTCTCTGACTATCTTGCACTGCGTAGTCTCGTCTGCTCTTGGCGCAGTGCTTCCCAGCTCATGCGGTTCCTCCGTGATTTTTTCACTTCTGCACATAATTGTCGTTCTTCACATCTTGAAGGACCTTCTGCCTACGCAATAAATCGCTAAGTTCACTTGTTTCTTATCTTCTTATTTGTGCGCCGTTAAAGGGCACTAACGTAGTGCCATTCGTCCCATGTTCAAGGTACCAGATCAAAGAGCACCTCGTTTCTTGTTAAAGAAATGACTACAGGAACAAAATATATTAAAACCACAAAGAGCTCTGCACACTTGAAGACGGAAAAATCGCTTTTGTATTATTTTTAACTTTTAATTTGTTCAAATATGTATTTGGTTTGACCACTAAAATTATTTACATGGATAAAATTAGTGTCGCTGACTCGCCTTTGATACATTAAGGAGGCAGTTATAGTAAATATCAGCGTACTGCTTTTTATTTTGGCAGTTTGGCGCATCAAACATACTTACGGTGACTTATTTCTTTCGTTCATGGATACAAAATCAAAGCTAAAATGTAATTATAAATATAAACTTAAACACATTTTAGTTAGTAAATATTTTAACTTTATATTTTTTATTTTTAATATCTACAATTTTTTGCTTATAGGTTAGCTGTGAATAACTTGCAGTACGTAAGCAATGTCCTTGGCATTAAAGATCCCATTCATAAGCAAAAAATTTCACTAAAGGCAATGGATGTAGTGCTCTTTGGCCCACCACGAGGTAAGAAAATAATGTAATAGCCTGTTTGAGTTAAGTTATTGTACTATTAAGTTTTGGGCAAAACTTAGTTATAATACCCATACTCGAAGAGATGCCAAGCTTTTTTGGCTGCTAGCTGAAGCCCATTGCTCGCTCTTTTGCCCGGCCAGATAAATGTGCACAAGGAGGGGCTCGGTATGAAACCTATGCGGCGAGAGATTAGCGTTGAACTAAACTAAAGCAACCGCCGAAGCGACAGGTGCAGGCCTTTCAATGCGCCTAGGAACGATGCGGTGGTCAGATCTCTAACAAGCTCCATGTTTATTGCCTTAGATGGGAAGCAAATAAACACGCTTATGTAGCACTTGATCGGAGGCCTCGTGCGGATTTCTGATCGGTAGAAAAAGGGTCCACAATAGTCCACTCCAGTTACTTCGAAAGCCCGCGATCCTTCCAGACGCTCCTTAGGCAAGTCTCCCATAATGTGCTCAACCATGCGCGGCCTCGTCCTGAAGCATCTCACACACTTGCTTACCACTTTCGAGACATCCTTGATTCCTTCAATAGGCCAATATTCCTATCGAATATTGGAAAGCAAGGCGCGAGGTCCAGCATGGAGGTTTCGCTGATGATAAAAGCTTATCACTGCAGAAGTTACGGGATATACCTTGGGCAAAGAAGCGGGTGCTGAGCATTAAATGGGAGCGATGAATTGCCGAGACGACCTCCAACTCGAATTAAACCAGACTGATCGATGAACGGAGAGAGCGAACTGATGGAGCTAGACTTCCTGACTTGCCCATTGCGTCTAATCTCCTTTATGTCCGACCATAAACTTGCCAGCTGAATGTGTCGAACAAGAAGATGCGTTCCTTGCTGAATGTCAGAAACCGTGAGTCCAGGATGGCTAAGACGATGAACGAATTTATGCATGTAGGCATGTGCGCTGTATGCCAAAGAAAGAGTTTGCAAATTTGCATCCGGACGTGAGATCGGCATGTGGAGACGCGATTAGCAAGACTCGCTTGCGAAGCTCAGTGGTCGGAGTCTCATCCAAGATAACGCCGTCGACGAATCTGACCAGCAGTACAACTGACCAGTGAAACTTCCCGACTCTTTTATGTTGTACATGGTTTTCGCAAGCAAATGGGCTCTACTTAACTCCAGCTTTGGAATCGAGACTTGAAACACGACACATTTCACGGCGACTGCCCTTGCCTGGATGCGACATATATGCAATCGCCATATGCTTCCACGCTGCCATCACAAAATCCTTGAACCTCTACACCTTTACGAGAATGATGAACCACGCGAGGAAATGAAATGCGACAGATGCTTGCCAAACTGTTTCTCAGGCCCGTCCAAGTTGAATGCAACACTTCGTGTAAGCTTTCATCCCAATCCAACTGTTCTCTCCAAAGCTGCCGAAGGAAGCTTTAATCTGGATTAATCAATCCAAGAAGGTCGAAGAAACGCGCAATCGTTAATAAAACTGACCGATTGGAGAGCTTTGAATTTTTGTCCAGCGCAGACAAGGCAAACAGCAGCTTATTCTACGCAGGGTCCCACGCTAAGCCAAGGGTTTTGGTTATTTCGCTTCGATCAGGATACCTTAGGAACAACTCTATGTCATCCTCAGGAACTCCTTCTATTACCTCCTGGTGACTAGAGCACCATTTGGTGCATCTTTTCCATGACCTCTGCTATTGAGTTACCGCCAGAGATAAGATCATCAACGTAGAACTCCTGCTGCGGAGCAGCTGAGCCAAGAGGGTGGGACTCACCCTCGTCGGACTGGAATCTCGCCCTCAGTGTGTTAAACAATGTCGGCTAAATCACAAGGCCAGTCATCATGACATCATATAGCACAAATCCAGTTGTGTAGCTGCAGAGCAATCGAAAATGACAAATACTTGTAGAGGCTACATGATTCAGGATTAACTTCGGACATAAGCTTCAAATCAATATACTCTCTCGTAAATGCAGAATAACGCTCCTTGAGCGTAGGAAATCGATCCAGTTTTCGCTGAGAAGGCGTCGATACGCCTGAGTATAAGATTCTCCTAAGCGATCAGCCTCATGCCTTAAAGGCAGTTGAACTAAGTAATACCCTGATGGCAAACGTGAAAAGTGGTTTACGAAGTGTGCCTCACAATCTACTTCTTCCATAGTACTCCAATTAGCCTCCACACAATTCTCGACTTCCCAAAACATACAATCTTGCATTCATCCTAGCTTCCGGAGAGCTTGTTACCCCCTGTCCACTACCAGATACGATTCACCCAAGCCGGGTCCTCTGCAGAAGAGGCAATCCATCTGTGAGCTTGATTTGCCCTACGCAGACAAGGTCATAGAATATGCTCGCGCCAATGAGGAGATCTACTTGCTGTCAGACTTGGTTGCCTATCGGTGATTGTGGAGGCCGAATAATCCGAAGTCCGAGACTGCATGTAAATGCTCACGGTGGATCCCTTAAACTCTACACTAGCCACCTGTGCATGCACGAATCCGATGACCCGATTTTAAGCAGTTAAAACAAAGTGACAGCTTCTTCACTTCCTTGTGACGCAGAAAAGGATATACATCTGTGAAGATGCACGAGGCCCGCTGAATGGCAGAAATGGCATCCAGACGGGTCGGCGGAAGAGTTGGAAGCAAGAAAAGTTTTCTTTAAATGTGATGTAGACTGGCTTTTTCCTACCTTAGCGCTACTAGCGTGTGTCGCTATAGCGTATTGCAAGTTCTCCGCGTTCTGGCATGGTTTCTCCAGAAAATCCATGGCCGCATCTGAGAGACATGAGCGAAGATGTTGGAACGTCTCGATTTCACTGAAATGTGCATCCGCTTCGATGACCGAATTGAACTAGTGGAATGAGCAGCTACGCGTAAGTGGCCTAATTCGAGAGCAGACAGCAGCTCAGTTTTCAAACAAATGAAAGCGTTTCACACAGCTCACTTCCAATCTCGTCTTCATCGAGTGATTCCAACTCATTATGACACTTGTTGAACTCCTCACGCATTTCTGCCAGCACTTAATTTGTCGATTTTATTGCCCGCAAATGATTCGTTAAGACGGTGCAGCCAATCATGCAGAGACTGAACTTTACGCTTGAAAAGCCTCAGCCTTTTTTCATCTATCGCAATATATCCGCCCGCGCCTGTATTCGGCTCGTTGTCCAGGGGAAGCAGGGGAATATCAGACGGCTGCAGTCTCACTATATTTTCACTTGAATTGCTCTGTATTTGCACAAAATGTATTCGTTGGTAGCTAAACCGCACAGCAAGCAATATATTTTTCGTTTAAAAATTGCACTTAAATCACGCCGGGGTCTCCAATGTTTGAGATGCCAAGCTTTTTTGGCACCTATTTTATCCAAAATCAATTAAAACAAATGCGAGTTTAAACGTTATAATCAGGCAGGCTCTGGTTTTCACATTCACTTTGCGTTTTAAAGTCATACTTTTCAATTAAAGGCGCTCTGGAATCAACTTTTGTGAATTTGTTTACTATTTGTACTGTTAAGCGCCAAATTTACTGCTATTATACCCACGCGTTAGTGCCAGCTCATAAAAAAGGCCTCTGTTATGTTTAACAGAGATTTATTGATAGCCAAATCGGGCTGCCACGACTGTTAAGATGAAGTCAATTTTTTTTTAACTGACCAATATTTTTAGATAATTTTCAGGTTGGTTTAAATAAAAATTATTTTTAACGCGACTCTACTTATACCCGTACTGTCAGTATATACATTTTTGAGCATATGATTTTTTAGAATTAAAAAAAAAAAAAAAAATGTTATTTAAAAATTTTTTTTTCTACATCTGCTATCTACATCTACAATGTATAATCTACATCTAACATGTAGATTGTACATGTACCATTTAGATTCTACATCTCCTCCGCTAGGGGTTGCTCGCGCACTGAACGCGTCAGAGTGTGCGAGCGAGAAAGAGATAGGTAGCGGGTCCCTGGCAGGAGGGGGTGGAAGAACCAACAGAAAATTAATTTCTTCATTCTGGCTATAATTATTATATCGATCTAATTCAGATTCGGCAATCTGGTAGATATGGGCATTCTCTAAGATACTGCGTTTTTAGTTGTATCGTATCTTTCAAAATGTGCCTGCCACAGATTCGTCCTTTGTGGTGGCGGAAGGGGCGGGGCGAAATTTTGAAATACACTTGCAGCAGTGTGATATCACATGAGCCTGGAAACCAAATTTGGTTGCCCTAGCTCTTATAGTCTCTGAGATCTAGGCGTTCAACAAGACGGACAGACAGACAGACGGACAGACAGACATGGCTATATCGACTCGGCTATTGATGCTGATCAAGAATATATATACTTTATGGGGTCGGAAACGTTTCCTTCTCTGCTTTACACATATCCACTTGCTCTGAGAGCTGCTTGGCTGTCTTAGAAGACGCACACTGAGTGTCTGTCTAGAGAAAGTTTTGAGACGATGGAGATAGCCTCGTTAATTGCTACAACCTCTGCTTGGAACACACTACAGTGATCCGGGAGCCTGAAACAATGGCTGAGCTTGATGGTTGAGCTTGTTAGAGTAGACGCCTCCACCGACACGGCTGTCTAGCTTTGTATATGTGGACCGCATTTGCAGGACCAGGTTCGCCCCTCTCCCAGTCCTCCCTGAGTGGGATTGATACCTGGAAGGGCGTCGAGAGGTGATCACTCGATATACAGTAATCTGTCCCCTCCGGTAGTTACGGGAGTCTCGTCAAGATTACCGAGTGTCCAAACGTGGATGCTTTCCAAAGTTTGGATTCTCTTATTCGGAGAACGGAAAGAGGTGCCACCTTTCTCCCCATGAGTTCTACAGGGAGAAGGTACAACATGGTATCGAGGGCTTGTGCGTAGTCCGCCCGTTATGCATAGCTCTTCCATGCGTTGGACACGGTTGAGTTTGCTAAGACAAGTTTTCTTGTCCAGTGCTGACCACCACACAACCACTCCGTACATCAAAATTGGTCGTATGATGGCGGTATATCGCCACCGGACT